TGGGAAAATTCTACTACCAGTCCTTCATCACCTTACACGAAATAGGGTGAATACATCTCATTACAAGAATGAGTCCCAGCTTTGAGCATGTCCATCAAATGATGGACAAAGGCTCAGCCCATTTTCGTCTGAAACGAGGGAGGACATCTTGTCGACTGCGTCAACCTTAACTTTCGAATCTCTTATTCATACACTTTTGTGTGGGATGAAAGTCTCTCCAATGCTGTTATCTAAAGAACTTCAATCAATATACACATAAATATCGTAAAGCGAGATTCTCTACTCTGACAATGTCCGTCCTATGACAGGCGAACACTCAGTGTTGCGCCGAGGACCTATTTGGCGCAAACCTACAATTACAGCCCCAAGGCAATCCCCATACAGCTTCTGGTGAGGTCAACTTACGAAATCCCTTCCACTCGCCTTTTCAAAAACGAAAGATAGGTACTTCAAACTGAAACAAAAAATTAACCTAAAATAGTACCTCTGAAATTCCGAATTGTTCAGAAACGAGCAAGCTGGGCAAAATTCGAAACAAAATTGTGATTATTCGGAATAAGCAGTTTGACTACACATTTAGTGAAACCAAAGAGTCTGCACTGCGTCATCCTCAGTTCCAATCTAGAGGCATTCTGATGCTTCTTTACATGCCATTCCAGATCTTCACGACTAGCAGTCAAAAGACTTAAACCAGCCATTTTAGGCGGTTGAAATGCCTCCTGTATGGATGCATAAATGGCTGGTGGAAGTTTAAAGGGAATTAGCTCTTGCCAACCATTGAGAAAATGCCTGTTATGAATGATTAACATTTCGTCTCGACTTTTGCTGGGCTTTCTCAACCCCAAACAATCCAGAATTTAAGAGGTACAACCTTTGGTCGAGGTTCTTTTTAAGGCCTGAAAGGGAGTTAAAACCAGAAAAAGTGGTTGAAACTGGAAAAGGGTTAAAAAAGAATTTTTGTAAGCTCATTTTAATTTATGGATTTAGGCAGCCTCAGTGAATCGTATTTGGTCTATTGGCAATTAGTGAATGACACGAACCTAATGGTTCTGACTTTGAGTCCCGTTTGGGATGCTGACGAATTTGAGGCGACACTAAACTTCAATCTGGTCCAGGAGATGACGTTCAGTGGGATTCAGTGATAGTAAATGGGCAGACTATATCCACTAACTTGTCAAGTATGCGACTTTGCCTAAAAACGGTAGTTTATGGGAGTCGGAAGATAAGAAATGACAATGCATTTGAGCATTAACGAAAGCCAAATAAATAAAGAGCAACTGTATCAAAGTTAGGCCTGATCCGAGTCTAAATTCCGCCTGGGTTTCTCTCGCCGATCCGAGGGGGTAGTGAACTCGATTGTTCTCTCAACTTATTCCAAGAAAGCGTAGACTTTGGTTTATGCGCAAAAGCCGACGGCAGAAAAGACTTGATTCGAGCGAGCCTTCGCAAATTCGTCGTGTTTCCAAGGCGACCTTGAACAGTAGTCATCATCGTCATGGCTTCGTCTAGGTTCAGAACGTCGGGTACAAGGGACTGTGAACTGGGAGTACCAATTTGGGTGGAAGATAACTGCGCTTAGATGGGTCCATTTAAAGGGAGGTACGAAAAAAGAGGATAGTTTTGGGAAGTGAGCTCGAAGTGAAAGATAACGATCTATAACCAGAAGATAGAGCATGTTTCGAGTCAAGGATGGGAGAAGAGATGCTGCAAAAGTTCAAGTGAAAATTAGTCCCTCGCCACAGTGCTCATTTCGATGCCGGAAAAGCTGGAAAGAGAGAGGACAACAATGGCATTGTGAGCTAATTTCGATGAAGTCCATCCAAATAAAGCGATAAAGTCGTGAAAACCAACTCGAGCCGAGTATATGGACAACCGGGCTTGTTGAATTGAGCCAACAAACCTTTATGATAAGGACTCTCAAGACCAACTGACCAAAGGTTTTTTCGGGCAGACTTACTCGAAATTGCATAAAGTGGAGACAACAAAAGCAGTCATCCAAGTCACCTACTCGGCGTCTCTGAAAGCAGGTCGAGAATCTCGCGGGTCTTTGCACAGAGAAGAGCAGACGTGGTGAACAGGCTTCCAGCATGCTGTGGTAGAGCTGAGCTGTATGAAGTGTGGAGAGTGAAGAGAGGGCAGCAGAAGTGGAAACTGGATGCAATAGGAGTCTAATAATGTACAGAAGCGGTAAAGTAGGCCAGCCATGCGGAGGAAGGCTTTTCAAGTTGCCCAGGCAACCTGAGGCATTGCCAGAAGGTAGGTTTAAGGTGATAAAGAAAGAGTAGTGGAAATGTCTCCGACAATCGAGTCAATAGGCTTCTCATTTTCATTCACTATCGCATACTTTTGCTTCCCAAAACATTATTCTCATTCAGACAATGATAGAATGCAGTGTAGACCTCACCTCAACTGGTACCATCAAGCCCCTCTGCGCGATTCGAACCCGGATTATGGTGGTGCAGCCTATGAACTCCACTACATCACAGGACAAGTGTGAATTTTCCTACATCATATCTCTGATGTGGCATTGCCAACGAAGCAAGGTTATTTTTCGTTTATAAGTAGATTTTTTTATTACCAGTAGATCATGTATGTGTATATACATAATGTGTGGTCACCTTCTGTGATGTGGGAATAGACGTGTCCTTCATTACCCTGTGACTCAAGGGCACTCGTGGCAGCGAGGCGTAGTGGTTAGCATGTCGAGGCTATACGCTGTACTACCGCAATCCAGGTTCGAGTCCCGGAGGTGAGATTCAACCTACAGCCCACTGCAACCAGGATGAGAATACCTTTTGGGAGGCAAAGCTATGCGAGATTGAATGGAAATGAGAGACTAATTCATGTGATTGTGAGAACAAATTCAACTAGCAAGCGTTCATCAGCTTGAACGAAAAATAACAATGAAATAGTCAGTATATGCGATAGTAGTAGGTAGGGCTTTGAGGAATCATCTGTCTCTTAATTGTTGAGCTTACTTCCATTTCGAGTGGAAGTGTTGCGTCAAGAGATTCCACGCTTCATCCCACGAGAAGATTACACTGACTTCCCTTGACCAGCTGTCGATTGGCTTTGCTGGAACCTTCTTGTTGACGCGGTTTCCTTCGAATCCGGCGAAAACGTGCTAAGCTTTCGTCAGTCATATGACGGCCATCATCAGAGCAGCGAATGTATCGTCTTTACAACCATGTTCAAGATAACAAATCAAGAAAACTCATTGGCCTATGCATAAAATGATGTAGATGTACCCCATATCTGATCTCTTTGACGGGACACAAGGTGAGTTGGTTAGTTCCAGTCACATGTCAACCTCGAAGCATGTGAGTGTGTCTGTATGTCTATGTGTATGTTGCTGCATGAGCTTGCATAAGTACGAAACCAGCAGTGATGGCTGAAAGTAATTAGAAAAGAAAAACTGATGTCTGATCTAAATATATATTATAACCATATGAAATGTATTCACCCTATTTCGTTTAGGATAATGAAGGATTTGTAGTAGAATTTTCCAACAATGATACGAGTAGAGCTGACGTTTCCATTGAATTATCTGCACAACGATTGTTCTAACTTCACTCACACTCATGAGTTAGTGTGACATAACGTTGGAAGGAATTCGTGAAACAGTTGCAAGTCCACGGTCCAAAGTAAAGGCTGTACGATCTTGTGAAAAAGTGCCAGTAATCCTTACTCAACTTTCTGATTGTGCATTTTC